TTTTTCCCAAAAAATTCGGTGCTTCGCCATTTTGAATTTTTTTCTACCAAAAGTATATTTTGAAAAGTTTAAAACTACTTTTTTATAATCAGTTTCGTGTCCTCTATCCAACCATGTACAAAAAAAGCCAAAAAATATTTCACTGTAATTTTGAATTTCCTGCACCTTATAAAGTACTTCGTTATTGGTATTCTAGAGGATTAAGTAAAAATATGCCGAAGAGACGTGTCCCAAAATAGATAGAATAAAACAATCTCCATGTGATTGGCAAAAGCAGATATATTGTGTTTCATATTTTAATCTCACAGAAATTGTACTAACAGCTTTTTCTTATGGTTTTAAATTATTCATTGAAGAAAAAGAAACAATCTACAATAACGATCTATACACAATTTACAGGCGTGATACAAAAAAAAAGAAACCTGCACGCGTAAAAATCAAACATTAATAAATCTAATTTTCATCTATCAATGATTATATCTGACTAGAGCCTTTTATCTTATTGATAGAGTAGTTTATTTTGTTGAGCTTGACGAAGACGTAAAAATGATGAACGTGTATGATGTACTGTCTTTTCCTAGAAAATACTCAAAATAATAAAATATTTTTCTGTATAAAAAGATTTACTTTCGGTTTGGTTAGTTGTAGTTTTGGCTCATCAATAACAATTGTTGAAGGTCTAGCTGGTGAACTTTGACTACGTTGTGATTGTTGAATTATATTTGATAGTCTATTCGTTATACATGTACAAGATTTCGTAGACGTCGATATTGAACTTGATGATGATGATATACTTCGTGTGGTATAGTTATTGGTGTGTTTGATGGACAAAGGACACATGAAGTTGAATGAAGAAAATCTGTTTGTAGAGATCTACATTTAAAAACAACAAATGGATTATAGAAATAAAATTGAAGTTTTTATTGAACCTTCGAGTAAGTGTTTCTTCAATAAGACGTTGTATTAGTTGTCGTCCTTTTTCTGGATGATATTCATCATCATCATCATCATCATCTGTTTGATTATTACTATTATTATCAAGACTAAGACTACTACTGAATGAAGTATTAGGGTTTTCTGATGCATTAGTTAATAATTGTTGTTCTATTAAATTATTTTTATTTGTCCAATGTGGTTTTTCAATAAGATCATAAAGAATTTTAATACTATTATTTTCATCATTGGAATTAAGATTATCTTCAATAAAAGAAGATTCTTCTGTAATAACACTTAATTTTTCATGTCAAGGAACATTAAATGATGACTCATTTAGCATATTATTATTATCTATCAATAAATCATTTTCATCAATTTGACTATTAAATATACGGTAATTATCATCATCAAATATTATTTCATTAGCATACAATGATTTATTAATATGATTTTGATTTATATCAGATTTATCATATGAATAAACAATAACTTCATCAAGATGTTCATTATCATTATCATTATTTTGATTCGAAATTAATTCATATTGATTAAATATAAAAGTTTTTTCAATAACTGTTTCACCCATCATCGTTGTTCGATTATGGCTTGATGTTGTATTCATAGTTAATGTACGATTATTATGTTTTATATGTTCATGTTCTTCTTCAATGATTTCTGGTTGATATGGTGGTGAATCCGGTATGTCACTTGGTGATATTATACCATACGGTTTTATTGAACTACATTCAGATGCATATGAATCATTACATGATGATCGTATATCATAACTTGCTAATGAACCAAGTGAAGTAC